CAGCAGAGCTCTAATAAAACTACAGTATAGCAGAATCTATTCTTCTCAATATTGTCAATTCAAAACCTTCAAAAACTACAGATAGTGCCCAGAAACTAAGCTCCAATTCCATAAAAATTAAGTTTGAAATACAGTTTTTCCTACATATAGATAATGTTGCAGTTCAGGTCTGGAATACTGTGGTAAATTCAGGAAGAATGGCTTTCTCTCAAGAATACATAGGTTGGGGGTGTGGTTTGAGTTTTGAATTATCTACTGTCCCTGCAAAAAGGTCTCTTCAAGGCATGCATACCCAATGATAACAGCCGTATGACCTCAGAAGAAACAAATTTACAACCAATCAAATTTGGAGAAGACTTCGGTCTCATAGTTTAATTCAATTATTAGATAACCTGCCACTGTCTTAGATTGTATTTGCAAACTCCAAAAAGGTCAGGCAGTATATCCTGTTTTATCAGAGTTTTATCTCTTCTGGTTTACCTTTCACTTCTGCTATATTTTAAGAAAAAGTAGAATAGAAAATTTTATGTTTTAATACTTTCGAGAAACTGTCTTTATTTCTTTTTGAATATTGTACCCAGAGATTATAGTTCTTGTAAATTAACCAAGTCTACTCTTATTCAAAGCATTGAGGAAAGGATAATCTTCATGCTTCTAAAGAAGGAGAGGAAGGAGAAATTACATTTCTCCTGATGTTTCCGGGACAGACATCTCCTAAACAGGTTCAAAGAATTCTCTGATTGTTTCCTTACACCCTGTGCCAAAGGTGGATAGTTGCAGAAATGATTTTGCACTGAGTTTGGCGAACGCATTAAATATTTAGTTTTTTTTTTATTTTTAATATGAATACAAACAACATTTCCAGACTTAAATGTGCCCTGTAAGAATGGAAAGGTGCTGAAAAGAGTTGAAACAAACTGAACTCTTAGCAGATTATTTTTTATCTATTAAAATCTGAGGTCATTACAACAGCTCTGGGTTTACTTTATTTTCTCTACACTTTATATAAATGACAGTCAGTATTCCTGCATATATTACTGTCATAGTAGTAATCTCTTGCACAGTTTATCTGTAAAAATTATCATTTACGCTTAACTTAAAGTCTTTCAAATTGTGTGGTGAGGTCAGTACTCTGGAGGGAAGGGATGCCATTCAGAGGGAGCTGGACAGGCTGGAGAGGTGGGCCCATGAAAATTTCATGAAGTTCAACAAGGCCATGTGCAAAGTCCTGCACATGAGTTGGGGCAATCCCAAGCACAAATACAGGCTGGCCAATGAGTGGATTGAAAGCAGACCTGTGGAGAAGGACTTGGATGGTATCAGTATTACTGAATATAAATCACCAGTGTGCCTTCGCAGCCCAGAAAGCCAACTGTGTCCTGCCTGCATCAAGACAAGTGTGACCAGCAGGTCAGGAGAGGTGATTCTCCCTGTCTATCTGCTCTTGTGAGACCCTACCTGGAGTGCTGTGTTCAGCTCTGGGGACCCCAATGTAAGAAAGACATGGACCTGTTGCAGCAGGTCTGGAGGAGGGCCACAAAGATGACTGGAAGGCTGGAGCAGCTCTCCTATGAAGACAGGCTTAGGGACTTGGGGTTGTTCAGTCTGGAGAAGACAAGGCTACGGGCAGACCTTATAGTGGCCTTCCAGTACTGAAAGGGGACTTACAGTTAAGATGGTCTTTTTAGCAGGGACTGTAGTGATATGATCAGGAAGGTGTCCCTGCCCATGGCAGGGGGGTTGGGATTAGATGTCTTTAAGGTCCTTTCCAACCCTAATCAGTCTATGAATCTATGGTATGATTTTGAAAATGCTATCAGAAAAAAATTATAGGCCAAGTCACTGATAAAATGTGCAGAGGCAAGACAGACAGACAGACAGGGAGGGAGGGAAGGAGGGAGCTCATTTTCCTATGGCAATCCATTAAGAAATGTAGCTTTTCCTGTTACATCACCTGAGAAACGCTGGAGAACTGATGCAAAATATCTTACTGTACTTTTGAGCAGGGGACCTGTGAGAGGCCTTGATGTGAATAGGATAAGCACTGATAACTTAACATGCTTATGATTTTGATTTCTTATTCAATATACTTTGTCATATACTTTTACAGAAGAATGACACCTACTGCATAAAACTAATTGTAATCACTGTGTTATATGCAGTAAATACGCTGTTCTTATAAGCAGTCACTTAGTGATAGAAATGAGTTAGAGAGAAGAATAAATCTTACAAAAAAAATTTTCCTGGATTTTTCCAACAACTCGTTTCAGACATTTTTCTAAGGAACTAAGGAAATGCTAAACCCCTTCACTTCTACAGTAAGTATCAGCTCCAGTTGTGATTTCTATACACCAATAACAAAATATAACTACTGTACTTCCATACTGACAGTTTTGACTCAGTTTTGATGTGAATCCTTGGAGAATGCAAGCTTTGATTCTCACATGTGCAATCATTTTACAGTCCTTTTTGCAGAAATATGCAAACAATTGCTTTTGCAGAAACAAAACAAAGCAAGAAATCTACATTACTGTGAAGAGTTTGTAAGGCCAAACAAAAAAAGAACTTGAATCCAGCATTCTGAACTCTTACAAGCTGACAGGCAAATACATACGTGTCTGTGTGGATCTTCAAAAAAAATACACAAAACCATACATGTACATACATTCTGAAAATCAACAGATGCCAGGAAGTCCTTAGGTTGTATGAACTGTAAAATCTGTCTCAAAATGAACATCTGGAACATTTAAATTATAAATCTAGAGTTGATTTTTAGCACTAGATTCCTTGGGGATTGTAACAAAGGATCGACTGCACAAACATCTGCCCTTGTCTGCTAATGGATTTATTTTCTTAGTTAAATTCAGGCAACATGGCATCTCATCCAACCCATGATGTTAATGTTTACAGTTGCTAGAATGCTATATATAGCCCAGCATCATAATTTTGCTGTTAATATAAAATTTCTCAGAACTTTACGATTATATACAGAAGCTTATTTTTGGGTATTTGTGATTCTGACACTCTTGAAGTGTTTAAGAGCCTCCCTAAATCCAGAGATTGTCTCAATTACTTATTTTTTTCATTGTTTGCTTTTTACCTTCTAGCTGTGCAAGAAGATTCTAAAATCTGAAGTAACAGAAGCAATGAGAAGAAACAATGACAACAGCGTTCTTGCTAGTGAAAAGAAGTATTTTTTTAAAATGTCATTTTCCTTGCAATATATTAAAACTACTTCTAGATAGCATTTCTTACAAAAACCACACAAAAACCCACACAAATGTGTGCTTTACAACTATTTGATATGTCTGAATCATGGTTCTCTAAAACATGCGTGTATCCTGCAGTGACTGTGTAGGTTCTTTACCTCCTTAATTTTCACTTGGCAAGTAGCCCAAGCCTCTGCTTTAAATTTCCCACTTGGTAGCACTAGTATGGCACCTGAAGAGTAATTAGTTGTAAGAAAGGGAATTTGAATTGTTTGCTGAGAAGGAAAAAAATGTGCATGCCTAATAAAGATTTTTCCTTGAGTACCTGCAACACCATTTATTTATTTTTGCTTAGAATGCACCACCCTTTAAATAGACCAGTGACCATTATTTTTTTTTTTTTTTTAAACTTTCCAGAAAAAGTAAGTGAAAGAAAACTGGTTTGGTTTTAAGACCATACTATTTCACTTGTAGTCAATTATAGCAGCACTTATCTTGACACAATTTTTTTTTTTAAAACACTTTCCTGATAATGGCCTTTTTTATTTTATTTCTCACATTGCTCTTCTATGGACACCTAAGCTGTAGTCTTCTAGGAAGGCAAATCATAAAGATGTCTGAGCAAGCAGAATATTTAACCTAAATCACATATATATTATCTGTGAAGTTTATACTGTCAAATGAAACTTTACATTATGATACTGTTTGTGAGAAAGGCAGATCTCCATTGGTTCCAATGACCTTGGAAACTCTTTTTGAACAATTCATTACATATAGTTATGCAAAATGAGTAACAGAAATGAGGTTTTCCCTCCTCTAGAAATTAGCAGTTCCCCAGCCCTAAGAAAGTGAAAAGTGCTGCTCCTGATACTGCTTCTGCCTTCTGTGCAAAGACAGAAATGTAGAGAAGTTTGAGGGGGAGGGGATTTGATTTCTTTTTTAATGTCTGCCTCCTTCCAGCAAGTCCATCTGTTGTAGCACTATAATTCTGGAAGCAGGATGTGTGTGTGACCAACAGGAGACAATTACTGCAAAAGTGTTTGTTGATTCAGCTCTATAAAGGGCAGGCCAATCACTACAGTATGAATAGAAAAGAATTCCAGCTGAGGAGCTGCATATAGATTAACACAAAATACATATATATAAATGAGAATGGGGAAAACCAGAAAGTAGTAATAGTATGGGAAAGGATTAAGTAGGAATGAACACTGAAGTGGAAAAGAAAGCTGGCATCTTTGGGGCTGTTAACCAAATAGTTTACTAGTCTCTATTTTCATAAATCTTCTTTAGCTTTCTATCTTGACAGAGACAGGTGGGATTAAATAGATATGGAACTGGTCTGAGCCCGCTTTGGAAGAAAACTCCAGTTGCCTTGAGCAATCCACTCTTGGGGCGTATGTAGATAGCTGATGCCTCCAAAAGTGTCTGTTCTTCACAGAGGAATGGGTGCTAATTCATGTGGATGGACCAGATTCTCAGGGAAGTTCTCAGACCACTGGCTAGAAGTAAAACTTCCCTCACCCACTTGAATGCAGGTAAAATGTCAGCATGAAGACCACTTCTTTTTCAGAAGGAGTAATGATTTGGGTTGATGCAACAGTAAATAAGGCCTCAGTATCATTTGTACATAATAACTGATTCAGAATCTCATATAAAGCATGGTAATATGTCACATTTAAAAATTTTGAGTATAGCAAATTAAGAGACAAAAATCAATGTTATTAAAATTTCATAGAATTACAACAGAATTAAACTGAACGTTGTAAGACACCGTAACGAAAAGTACTTTACCTCTATGGTCAGTTTACTAGATTGAAGTCTCTGATCAGCCAAATGTAGCTGAGCTGTTAGTTTTTCATTGGTTTCTTTAAGACCCTTCACAGAAGACACTGCTATTTTCTTTTCATTGTGTAAAACAGTTATCTGCTCCTGCAGTGACTTAATTCTTTCTTGCAGTAGAATAACAGAGTAGCCCAGTTTCTGGACAATGGTGTTTCTCCTTTTTGTTCTGTTCACTAAACATAAAATGACATGTTACTAAATTGACAGATCATCATAAATAAGATGATTCCTGAGTTTTCTTTGGCCCTTCAGAACACTGTTCTAGTCTCTAAAATATTTCTCAGTAAATAAAGTGGTAAATTAAATCAGTTAACCTATAAGTGCTCTATGTTGTTTTTTTTTTTCCGAAGTCCCAACACTGCAAACTCAACAAGGACTTGGAAGTTATATGTGGATCGAGTTTCTGGTTGGTATTACTGAAAATAAAGGCTTCAGTATCTTGTTAACCGATTATTTTTTTTAACATCTAAGCCAAAATACAGTTAATTTTGTTTCACTGTCTGTGTTGGCTACAAGGGGCAAACAGAAACAAAAGGTAGTGAAAAACCTTATTTCAGGCAGTAGATTTAATACGTGGGACTTAAAAAAATAGAGTATATTTTAACTGTGTGAAAAGAATCTGCCTGACAGTCACTTTTTACATGACAGTTTCACTATAAAACAATGAGCTAAATCTCTGAAAATATACTCACACAAATTTAAACAAGCAAATCCTGCAACAGCATGTAAATGGGTTTGTGTAATATAGAAGAGGTTTTGGGATATCAGGCAGGAATGCTTTGTCAATCTTACTTATGAAGTTGCCAAAAATATCTAATTTTCCTACCTTTGCTTAGAATTGATGGGTAAGATGTTATGAGACAGCAGACCTTCCTCCTCTTGGAATGTAATTTTTCTAGGTCTTTTGTCTTTGGATGGCCCTAAATAAAAAGCAGAAGCACAATGTTAGGAACTCTTCATTATGGAACACCAATCACAATACTCCAAAGCCTTCCAGTTTGAATTGAAACAACAAAAATTACTTCAAATACACAACATTCTAATGAATCTTAATTTGAAAATCAGTCTTGCAACATTAGTCATCGAAGAGTACAAACTTCTGTTTTTCTCATCAAATGCAGAAAAAACAAAGAACTTTTACAGGTAAATCATAACCCTTTCCAAAGAATCCCAGAGAAAAATGAAGTGTCTCTTAATGCCTACATTATTGTTTTAGATAAGGTATGAATTTACTCGTAGGGAAAAAAGATAGTGTGTATTACTTGAAAGCCTATAATATCCTGTTTTTCAAGATATTTAAGTGAAAATAAAAAGGAAAGCAGTCTTATTAATTCAAAAGAAGGAATATCATATTAGACACTGAGCTGTAACCAGAAGATGCATGAATATGTATTAACATGAAAATACAATCCCTGTGTTTGTACAGGGTTTAACAGAAGTCAGCTGCATGCCTTTCAAATATCTGATTTGAAGAATCCGTTATTTCCAGAAAGTACCAAATGCTCAATGGCAGAATGCTGCTTGCAACACGTAAAATGAAAATGGCCAGAGCATGGCTTACTCTAAAACCAAAGTACTATTTCCCTGGCTCTTAAATGCTCACTGTATTTTGAAACACTTTTATTCTGGAATTCTGCAACATTTATCCAATTTTTAAAGTTTTCAGTTTGCAATTTCTATGTGATATCATACAATGTATTTCTGGAAATATTCATAACTAAAATAGCTTTTCATCAAATTTAAAAGAGTAAACAGCAACAGATTACCTACTAACTGCACTACACAAATTAATGATATTGTAGGATAGTGTAGTCATGAATTCTAGATTTATACAGTCACTGCACAATTTGAAGGACAGGGAAATAGGATATGCTAGAAAAAAATGAAGTAAAAGTGCCAACTTTTCAGGCTAAAACCAAAGCAAAGGAAAGCAAAGGAGATCAAGCTCTTGTAGGTCTGTCTCCTTTGAGTAGTTTCTTATTTTATTCCACATCTCAAAGACAACAATGGAAACCAGTACTAAGCCCCTACCAGTATGACCCAAAGATCCTACAAACACTGAAGACAAGTAATTAGATGACCAATGATAATCTGAAATGGTGATTATATGTTACAGAGACCTGATCTCTCAGCAGATGATGAACAAATGATCCATGTCTGCAGTGAAAAGAGGGAGACGTGCACTCTAGGACACAGCTCTGATGAATACATGAGTTGTAAAAGAGTGACAATAATTCATGATACTGCACAGGATCTTACACATTTATACCATATGGGGCAAAACTGAGAAAGTCCTTGTGTCATAAATTATCTCATCTCCTACCCCAGGCATAGCTCAGGACTTAGGAGATTTCTCTAGTCTCTCTTTGTATGAGAATACCATGACCCAGCTGCAGTGTCCTTAAATCCTTGGGAGGATTTAAGATTTCTGTTAAAACTGGTGTTCCCGTTTGCCAATACTAAGCTTTTTTGCAGTACTGTCTTCTGTTCACACAAACCATGTCTTCAGGTGCTTTTCCTACAACAGGGTCTTGTGCTGAAACATATTTACCTGTTTAGGGCTCTTGGAATGCATCCTGTGTATGCTCCAAGACCACCTAGTCTGTTAATGTATATCAGAATATATCTGTTTGGTTTTTTTCAGTAGGAACAGAGAGTAAATGCAACATAGGCAAACAGGAGAGGTCCTGGCTGTGTCTAGACTACCAAGCAAGAGACCAAAGCCTCCTGGATTCCCTGCCTTGTATATCCTCACATAGGAGCAGCAGGAGATAGCAAGAGTAGTATGCTGTCAGATTTTCACATATATCATGTGCACCTGCTCATACTGCGTATTCTATACCAACAGATGGTTGCAGAAGAATTTCCTTTTTTCAGGTTTTCTGCCATAAAAATAGATCTTTTGATGGAAACACACTCAAGAATATATAACAAGACCAAAGAGTTTGTATCTTCTTTAAAATACGGGAGACTAAGAAAATACAATCTGTTTTCAAACTTTTATCACCATGCATAACAGAATTTCAAACTAGTTTTCTAACAGCAGCAAGTTTTTCAGTGTTTCAGTATTCTGTTTCTTGAAGTAAGAAACAATATCTGTTTGTGTTGTAAATTCAGTGAAGTGATTTATTTGGGCAAACACAGGAGGGAAAAAGTATTAGACACTGTTCAAAAGTCCGAAAATGAGTTGTCTGTTACAGACTGTATGGAGTCTCTGAAGACCTGGGAAATGACGAGCTGGCTCTCTTCTGTGAGAAAGCAGCATATAAATGTTAAGAATGAGACAAGGGGTTCAAATCCCAGACAATGAATGTAAATGGGCTAAGAAGAAGCTAAAAGCACAATTTTCTGTGGATAGAATCTCCCAGACAGAGATAAAGCCAAAAGCATCTTTCTAAGATGGAGACAACTCTTTCTGCACACTCCAAATGGACTGAGAGGTGTTCATGCTTGATTAGTCAGCACACCATTTTACTAGAAGGGAGGAGGGGATGTTGCTGCTTTCTTGTTACAGATTAGGTCACCCTGTTCTTTATGGCTTTTGTGATTGAGCAAAAGTTTAATGAGATGTCTGTAGTATTCTTTGTCTGGACTGTGAGAAAGCAGGACTAGCATACAGCAGCTTTACATTTTTTAATCATCTTTTGTACTCCTGACACCCCTGCCAAATACTTCTGCAGACTACTTGTTCAGAAAATGTTCTAAATTATGATGAAACTACCCATGGAATATCTGGAAGCAAATTTTCTTTTCAGTTTACAAGAATCATATTAATTAAGAGGGGAACAGCAATGATAATACTATTAAACTTCAACACTCTGCACAGAACAAAACAAGTTCTATTACATACCTTTTTATTATACTGCTGATTTTTGCCTTCTAAATGAACAACGTTGAAGGGCTTTTGACTATCTTGTATGTGTTTTTTTCCCTGTTGTTTACTTCTATCCGGCAGTGGATCAGTGTTTTGCACTGTCTTCATAATCATTGTTTCTAAACTTTCAGAAGTTAGTACTTCAGAGTCACTAAAACAGCACATTCAGGAAAACAAAGCAAAATACAGCTAAATGTTAAAACTTTCAAATAGCCAAGGCTCGAGCACACAGAAAATAACACATGCAAGAAGGAAGATAAACTAATATAAAATCCAAACAGCACTAAGTTGACTTGTTCAACTGATATTTATAAGTATGATAAAGAAGAAATCTCTGAAATTCTACTCTGTCTAATGAAATTCTACTCTGCCAAATGGAATCTCAATCTACAATGCACAGAGGTCAGAGACTTCATCTGCTTCTTAATGGACAGCTTTTGATACAGTCTACAAGTGTGACATACATAAAAACCTACTTGATCATACTTCCAGTCTGTGAATGGCTCACAAAGATACACTAAGTTTCTACTTTCCTTCATTTTCACATCTGATCACAAAACAAACAAATGCACAATACTTTACGCAATATCATATAGTTTCAATTGAACTTTATTTGTAGTGTTGACTGAGACAAACTCAGAAATCACACTTCAATTAAATCTCTGTCTAGCACCCCTTTGGAATGCTTTTGTAAGCTTGGTGGTCTTTCTACTGAAATTGCCTGCCATGCAGAGAAAATGGACCTGAAACTTTCATTCTACTTCAAATTTTTCCTTAAATTTGCACTCAATGTGCTCTTAATTTCCCGTTTTTCACTGCCTTGCCTCAGATTAAAATTAGTTTTCTGATATTCAGTGAAGTCCATCTTAAAACATGAAGTCTTGGATATAGCATTTTCTATACTACCAGTGTCTATTCACCATTATTCGTGCAAACAGATTTGTGAAGGAATCTCTTGACAGAAGGTAATTTTGTTTTGTTACTTTTTAAACCAGGACATTTAAAAAGGCACAACTGATTTCAAATTAAGTTGCACCATCATAAAAATCAATGGTTTAGAGATGGAGTCTACTTAACCAGAGAAAAGGCCTCAAATTGGAGAGAAGAGTTCACATAGAAACATGTTTATATTTTTGAAAACCTGTCCTGACACACTGGTATGTCTTATTGACTGATAAGAACAGAAATCAATGTAATAGTTCGAAGGTGCTGCAGTAGTACATAGATATTTCTATGTACTTACACATTTCCCTCACCTGAATGCTTTCAGTGAATGTTCTATTTAGAAAATGGAAAGCTTGAGTCTAGAAACATAGAGACAGCTACCAGTGACAAAGAACAGATTTTATTAGTAAGTAGATGAGGGAACTAAATTAAGATATTTCCCTAACTTGTTAAAAATGACACCTTGAAACATCAACTCCAAAATTGTTCACTGTTCTATGACAAGAATTCCCTAACCCTTGGGAACTGTACAATTATTGAAAGTAGTATTTATGGCTAGCCACAACAAGTGAAGCCATACAATTACTTTCCACTTCACTTGAAACTCAAATTGTAATGACAATTTGTTTGCTCAATCTTGTTCTTAAAAAGCAAAACAGTAAATTAAATAAAAAGCTCACTAATTGCAACAGGAAAACACATACTTTTAGTGTTAAATCAGATCTGCAATATTAAATTAAACTGAAAAACAAACAAGCTTTACATTAATGATAGCAACTGACAAATTACATGGTTCTTAATTTGTTTTCTCTCTCAAGATACTGTGTTCAGGAGCCCCCTGTTTTGCATGGGGAGAACCAGCAGAAGGACTTAATTTGCCACTATTGATTTGCTCTATATGACATATGAAGCCAACATGAAGCCTATGAAGACAATTCCATTTTCTCTTTTGTCACCTTCTCTGTATTTTGAGCAAGCACAGGCTTAAGAAATTTCTTTGCATGTCTCTTAGGACAAAGTATTGAAAGGTAAGGTGTAACACCCATTTACCTAATGGCTTACTGCTGCCTCCTCAAGTACCTGTAGACAAATAGAAGCAGGAGCAAAAATTCTAAACATTTATGAAGCTTGCTGGTGCCATTTTCTGAGGGCCTTGTGACTCATGACTGGGACTCTGTGCAGTAACAATTACCTTTAAAGAACTGATTTTTAACCATCATTCAATTAAAGTTAGTACAATGACTATGCATAAAACATACATGAAATAATTAGTGTGGATGGTTCTTAATTTAAAGGATGTTAAACAGCTTGTAGACATCTGCTAGCAAGCTGAAATGGGTCATTCAAAATTTATCTAACTAAATTAAGGGGAAAAAGTGTTTCTCCTCCCGGGTTGGCATGTCACAAGATAACTAAACCGACTTAGTAGGCTTGCATGGGAATCCTTAGCTGTCAGTGGTGAATATGCAAAGGGCCAGCAAATTAAATCAACCTGCCAAACTGTCAATTTCAAGCCTCATGACTGCATGAAAATAGCATCACTGGAAGAAATCAAGCATTGCCTTCTTTTGGGTTTCCTGGCACCTATTCAAATACTCATGCAGTTGTGGCTAATTTTGCATGCAAATTTCAGTCAATAAGCCCAGAACAAGATCTCCCAAGATATTTCAAAGGATCTGACAGTATTTTTTTTGAATACCAAATCAACAGTAGTTGAAATTCAATCTCCATTTGCTAGTGCTTTACATATGCACAGTGTCCCCTCTACAGGGCTAAGTTAATGAGAGCCGTACCTGCTTTCACTCACATCCTCCCAGCCGTCCTTACTGAAGTTCTCAAATACATTACTCATAACCTTGATGGACTGTTTGAGAAAAGCTCCATGATGTCCCAAAGAGCTCTTTTTCCTGGCTGTGTTTAATTTAACCTTGGTGCCTGTTATCTTGCAATTACATTGCCCAGAGGTTGCCACTGCTTTGGCTTCATCCAGCAAACACTTCAGTTCCTGAACTTGACTCAGCAAATCTTCACTTTCATTTCTCAACCCTTTAGCTTCTGCCACTTGCCTCTTCAAAGAGGCAGCTTCTTTTTGCTGCTCATCAATCACTAACTGAAGTTCTGCTTTGTCTTTTTTTATTTCACAGATCCTCTTAAGTAGCATTTCCAGCTCTCCTTTTCTTGTGTCTGCATCTTCTTTTTGCACTTTTAAAGATTCTTCCAAATAATTTTTCTCCTTCGTTAAGTTTTTATTTACTTCTTTCTGTTTCTTTAATTCCCCTTCAATAGCTTTGAATCTTCTTTCTAGTTGTTGTACCTAATAAAAGCAATTTTAGCATTCATAATATTTCAACATGTCCAGTCAAAGAAAACCATTGTTTTCAAATGTATTTGTTATATGACAATAATATTACATTAAACACAAGGACAAAAGCAATCTATAGTCCTTAATTTAAAAATAATTCTAATGTAGTGCAGATGAAAACATTTTAGCTGCAATAATACAGATGTTGAACAAAGTGCAGATGGTAAAAGAAGTTAAAATTAGAGGCAAAGTGACACAGAAGTTTAAGTATGCTAATGAACCTTCCAGATGCATCTTGAGCTCATTACTGATTTGGTTATACATACTAATTGAATTGAAAAAAAACAATTTCAGAAGGAAAAATATTTTGAAATACATACAAATTTGCACTAGGTATCTAAATCAACAAGTTCTTTCAAGTCTTTTAAAGACAATTAAATATTAATTTGATCTTCCAAAAAACCCCAAACAAATCATAGCAAGAGATACCAGAAGCTCAGCACCTAAACACGAAGGCCAAAATCTATTCACAGAAAGGGAAAATCTATCCTCTTCCAGTGAAGCCACTCCAGAAGCTTCTCATATATAGCCTGAAGAAGCATATTCTACATATATATGATACATATGCTTTGTTTGTAAAGTCCTTTGAGGTTTACATATATTCAAGGCCATTAACAATAAACCAATTCTCAATGTTTTGGAATATTTGCTTTAAGTTACAACTAAATTCCACAATTTCTGGAAGTGAGGGACAATTTTTAAGATTTCCCCAGAAACTTGCAAAGGACATCAGAGTGACTTTTGTGCTCAGTAACTACTTAGTAATTTTGGAGAAATATTTTTGGTTGTTTCTGTTAAGCTCTATCTCTACTCTTTTGCTAGGGCAAGTGCCAGGTGCTCTAGATTCTTCCATCCATGGGTAGAAAAGACTATTTTTCAAGGAGCTACAGTAGAATGCATATGACCAACATCAGCTACTCACCTTGTAAAATACTGGCCAATTCCATCATTTTGTAGCAATACAAAATGCCAAAACTTGCTTTGACATTGAAAATAAGTGAAACCATAGTATTTCTCAGCAAATGCTGTACATTTTTACAAGGACATTTTGTCAATGCGTTTAAATTACTTTAAAACTTATGGAATGATTTACAAAGTGGGTACTACAGATTTGATTCTGATAAATGAGAGGGCTTAACATACAGAGTAAATTAGGGCAAAAGCTGCTCAAACTTCATATACATTTATGAATTTGATATTGAACTTGTGCATTTGATAGCAAACCTTTAATATACATCCCTATCCAATTGCTGCCTTCCTTTATAGAAATTCATAGCACTTCCACAGTGAAGAAAGATTGCCTTATGGCTACATAAAGCTATTGGGTGAAATTAAAAATAACAGCAATTTTTCCAAATGCTTCAATGAAACCAAGGTTTATGATTAAAATCATAGTTTGTACTTTCCTCACAAGCGATAAGGAGTTAGACCAGCACCTTTATTCAGCCACCTTACTAAACTGAGATTCTGCTATTATTTCCTCAGTTCTTTAAAGCAACCTTTTACACTCACTAGCACTTAAAGTCATGTATGACAGCTGGAAGGAAACAAACAATGAACAGCTTCTACACCTCTCCCTAAGGTACCATCATAACTCTGTATATCCACAGAGATAAAAATTATGTAGTAGCTGGCAAACAAAATTATAGTCCTGAAATATAGATGATAAGCAAGCATAAACTGTGTGACATTTCAGATGGTAGCATTCATATTATTTCAATTACTCACCCTACCTTAAGATAAATGAATGTGAGCACTTCCTATTCTGTATGTTATTATTTTAACATGATGTTTGTCATTCAGTAATAACGAGATGACAGCCTTCATTGCCTGACCATATGGCAAGTGTTACAAGTATATGCAATCACATCATTTGCTGTAAATTACCATACTTCCTACAAGTTAATTCACAAATAAAACATAAATAGACATACCCGAACTGACATTCAAAGTTATAGATTTGTGTTTATTCAATTTAAGCATGCTTTTAAAGATTTATAAGTAATTAAACAAATATTGTTTTGCAAAATGACAAACAAAAGGCATGATACTGTTTGAAGGATGCCTTTTCTTTGCAGCAAAGAAAACATATGGTAAAATACAAGTGAGCCCTCTTAAGTGAACACCTGTTAACATACTAAACTACTTGTGTATATTACAAATATCAATACAGATAGCAACTAGTTAAGAACATCTTGTTACTGTATGAGGTAAAACATATAGAATGTTGAGCAGTAAAGATTAAATACTCATCATATTTGCTAAGCCAAAGAACAGGTACGATCTTGTGAAAAGAGTGATAAACCCACATATGTAGAAAACATTTTGCATATACAATGTTGTGCTAAAATTTAAATACAACAAAAGGTGAATTTATCACTATTATGCATTAATTTTATTCTGTAGCAAGAGCTCCATGGAGATTAACACCTGATATCATGTAAAGTTATATAATCAGCAAACAAAATTAAGGTTTCTGAACTTAAAAGTGGTAAAATTCTAATCATATGCTACTTCCAATTTAGATAATTTGTTAGTTTTTAACATAACACCTCTCAATATTCTTTTCATTTTCTCTGACATTAACCACATTTATCTCACATGATATATTCACAGTTACTTCACCAGAATTAATTTCTGTCACAATTTTGAAAATCCATAGTTTTGAATTAGGAAAGGAAAATCATGGCCTAAATTCATGAGTACTGACATACATACATATGTGATTCTTGCATCAAAACTTAGATCTGTTTGCTGGGGTTGGTATCTTATCTTCAGTAATGTCTGTCGTGAAACTTCTTTGATACTCTTTGGAGTACTGAACTTGACCCCGTCATCTTCACTAAGTTTAAAAAGTGGCTCTAACAGAAAATAAATAATACGTCTCTATCAGAGAATAAATAAAATACAGTGTGACACCTAGTATTGCACTAAAACAATACCTAGACATTTTAAGGAGATGCATTCTTTACTTCTGCAGTTATTTATAATGTGGTCTATTTTCTTGACAAGCCTTTTGGTCAGTTTCTAAAGAGTGACCTCTGTTCAAAGTGTTCTATCACATAATTATGAATCTTTGTAGCATCACAGTAAGTTTTTTCAGAGTACAAGCTTTTCAAAGGTACAATAGATCTGCAGGTTAAAGATACTATACTTTCATTCCAATTTTTATTCTTTTATAGACTATTCTCTCTATGTCTTAAAAGCGGAATTCATTGCCTTTTTATCTACACAGTCACTACCAGTTTTGTTCTCTAGGTCTTGTCCCCTGCTAGGAGGATCAGAGTGATTGGTGAACAAAGCAAACAGTAACAGAATTAGGATGGATGAAAACTTTAAACCCCTTTTTTTGTTATGTGAAAGATCATGTACTTCACCACATAAATCACAAAAATCATTCCACTGTAATACTGTGAATTCATGACAATTAGAAATTGATACAACTCATGAGAGTGAACATGACACTAAGCATCACTCTCAGACACAGCTATGCACTTTAGGTAATAAATATCCCACAAAAAAAGACAAGTTAACAATTAGACCTATTCATAGAGTGCTAAAAAAAAAGTTTAGAAGTACTAATATGTATGGTAAATCAGAAGTAAAATACATTCTGTTTAGATTTGAACCAAGACCTTAGCATTCCCAAATTGCCCAGTGCTCACAGAAATGAGCAATTACACACTTCAGAAGGACTTTTTCTTAAAATATGAAATATTATGTTTAAGAACAAAAAATCTGTACTGTAAAAACACCACAATATTCACATTTCTTCTCTTGCCCTCCTTCCCCCTAAATTAACCTAAAGAATTAATCCTAAGGGATAAATATCTGTGCTACATGGTGGAGATCTGCTTTAGAAGTATCATTTCAAACTACAAGCAGACACCGTAGGTCACTTAAAAACTTTTGATTTATAAACAAAGCAAGTGTAGAAGAAAACAGTGTTACTCTCTGTAGATTCACAATCCTCTTGATATAAACAGCGACTAACAAGTTTGTTAGAGTGAATTAGACCTTTCTTTTGTCTTTGGAATATGTCATGGGCAATTAATATTTCTGTATTCATGAAATAAATGGAACACTATTCTAAAGATAATAAAAGCTGAAAAAGGTAAAACTATGTATCTGGGGAGTATGTACCTTTACCTTGATATTAATATGTTAGTTCCCATGTTATTTCAGACTACAGTCCCCCAGCACAGTGGTACTGCATACATTTACAACATTCTTCAAGTAACACACAAAGATAATATGAACATGCTTTTCATCTTTTTCTAAATATTCACTCATTTGAATGTCTGCTGTAGCTTTTATATCAGCATTTACTATACTCCACTGAAAAGAAAAATTATTTCCCATAGTCAAAGAAACTGATCAAAGCACACGAGGTGTTATGTTTATTATGGGGATGTATTAAAATCCAATTTAAAAGTCTATAAATAAACATATTATATGCAGAGAATAAAGAATACTACTGCAAAATAGATTGAAATGACTATATATGTACTGTATTAACACAGAAGTCACAAGCAACATAAATTAAAGAAAAACTAAAGGTCACCAATGCATTACGCTTTCTATTGAGCAGAAAATAAATGGTCTGTTCAGCCCCTTCTCCCCTTCTACCTTCTAATTGTTACGTAATTGTTCACAGGAACTGTTTAGGGAGGCAATGAAACAACATTCCTTATAACTGTCTGTCTATGACACACAAGTCATAAACCCCACTATCTTTAATCATCAAATTACCGTGGTCTTACAGAAGTATACTTATGTCCCATGGAGAAAACATAGTTAACTCTCTGCTTTAGAACATAACGCTCAGTTCCTAATGAATAGTCACCAAATCTGATGATGAGTTAGTTCAACACCACTACCAAAATGGTACTTGAACTATGATACCACTGTTCACCATTAGTATTTGCAGAAAGTCTTCTTACACAGAAAACAACTACCAGTTTCAAAAAAAACCCAGAGCTGTGCATTTGTCACTCAGAGTACCTACATGAACCATCAGAAGAATGACATTTTTGCCTCCAGTATGCACCAGGTGAAGGATTCCCCTGACTGACAAGAGGTGCCGTGGTGCAGAAAGCCACTGTGTTACTGACACCAGTGGTAGCCACCCATGCTCCCGAAGATGTGCTAAGTCTGAAACAGCCAGTGGGAAAAACCACTGTGAAGACCAGAAGAAGGGAATGCCATTCTCACATGAGCCGGGGACATGGTAGATTCAGAAGTCTTATAATGAAAGTAGTCTTCAAACTGCCTCCTTGAAGAAATAGGTGGTCAACAGCTTACATACTTTTAATAAGACACTTGCTATTTTTTGAATAGGATTAGATGGACCCAGTTTCCTGCTTCTGGGGGAAATGGCATGAGTATCTGTCAACACGTTCTTTACAGTCATACACAAATAATTATCTGAATAGCATGAACAGTGAATTTGGATTTGATGACTACTGGAAAATAATTTGCAATGGTTAAAGAGGCACCTTGGACACTTGAATCAGAATGGAAAGAAACTGGGAATGGCAGAAACAGAGTTTCTTCTTCCCTGACCTCCTTCACCTTTGACCAGCAGGGTTTGAAAAATTATATGCAGGAGCAACGAAGTTATCTTGTACTTCCTCCTGACAAACACAATTGATATCTGATCAAGCAAGAGGATAGAGCCTATCTTTTTCAATACAGGGAAGCTCAGACACTTTTTTTCAGAATTTATCCCTTGATGTTAGAATGCCTGATGGAAACAGGTACTTGCTAAGGTGAAAGTGAATTCCAACATCATTGATAAGCTGAGTAAATTCATGTCACGTTTCCTTTTCCTTACTAAGACTGTGAGCAAAGTGTATTTATACCATACCACGTTTGGATTCTCAGGAAATTACAGATAACAGACCTGAGATTGTACTTTTATCTGGGAAGAGGAAGGCATTTAATATCCATTTTAGGACAGAGGGTGTATGCACGTTCTTAGCACATGAGCAAGGATTGCTCACATCCTCTCATTTATGATCAAAGATGATGTGAGCTTCAGTCGTTACGGTATAGTCTTCTAGAAAACATCAACCAATTGATAAAAGTGTCTACCACACTGCAATACCCTAGGATTTGCAAAGGGAACAAGGGAATTACTTTTTATAGACTGAGAGCGCAACTATTTTTTTATACTTCAATTGGTAAAAGTTTGGAAATGGCTGGAATCAGCTAAGTCTGATGTGCTGACAAGTGTTGCTTAATACGTATCTTTGAACTTGACTTTGAATCTTACAAAAAAATTCCTATCCATCTAAATGATACCTGTAAGAACAAATGCTGGAAAAGGTAAATAAAATTAGACTAACACACTTCACTAGTAATTAACCCTTTTTCTCAGTCCCAATATAACAACAATTAATCATACCAATAATCAAACTAGAAGTGTGTATCCACCCACACACTTTAAAAGGGAATACATTTTACTCTGAAAAGATAATGAAAAAAGAAGGAATAAAAGACTAATTGTTAAAGCACTAAACATGTCAAGAACTGGCAGTTTCAGGGATCTGACTGTTTTTTGGAAATGCATGGTTATTGCTCAGCAGGTCCTCAATTCCTTCTCACTGCTGGTTGCCTTTCTACTTCTCTCTATGCAAAGACTGACTAAATTAGCAAAAACAAATAAGTGATTTTTAAAGTCAGTATTTGAAACCTTCACTAGTTCCCTTCAGCTCTAGCTGGGGCTATGAAAATAACGTATAAGAAGTAACATGAAAGAAAACAGTATCTTTCAATCTTCATCAGCTGGGTATTTCCACTTAGTTTAATAGATACTATAAAACAAATTCAAAATAAAGGAAAACAAAATCTTCATTTCTTCATTCAAGTGGCCAACATTATCACAAAAAAAAAAAAAAAAAAAGAAAACACCCACCAGTAGAAAACTGGGATAAAGAGTGGTAAAGCTTTATTGATAAGAACATGCAAAGTACTCTTTCAAGTCTCCTACTCCATTCCTTTGCACAATACCATGCATAAATAATTCACCACAGATGTGAGATGTGACACCAAGTTGGATTGTAACTATGCACTCTTGAATACTTGACCCAGATCATTTAGGAACAGCAAACAATATAAAGAATCAGAGAAGCGATGGATAGGCAATCTATCCAACTGACGAAGACCAGTCTTCACAGAACCGTCAACTATTGTAAAGGTCGTAAAGATATAAAAAAAGGTATTAATGATCAATTCCTGTAAGAGTTCCACCATTTTAATTTACTTTCAAATTCACATACTTTGTGAGACTAGTATTAAAAAAGAAGTCTGAATGATCATGACATTTCTGTATCACTGTATTTCAATACTGCGAAAATCATTTCAGATTCTGGAGAAAGCTTCATAAACATACAAATGTGTTTTAAATTTTACACGTATATAGTTATATACATATACACAGATATTTTAAATAAAATAATTAACTATTTTTTAATGTAGCATATACACATAAGTTACAAACATATACTAGTATATATCCATATAAAAAATTGTCATTTATTTAATAGGCATGTGGAGAACTTAAACATTTTGGAATATGTAGGGCCTTATACTTACAAAGTACACATTCAAGAAAAAGAAATTAACCTTTGGAGAGAAAATAACCATAAAATTAATATTTCTCATAGATTGGATACACACATATAAAATACTATACATTCCCTTTTTTGTGGTAAATATAGTTAAACTTCTGTATGCTGAACTTACCCACAGATTGGTGTACTTTCATCTGATCCAATTCTTCGTCAAGATTCAGTCTACAAAGTAGAAAATAAAACAGTAAAAACCACAGAACAATCACACAGATGCTACACTAAAACCATTAAAAGACTGCAACTAAAACCATATCAATGTATTACTGGGGAAAAAGTTGTTAACACCCAGGAATGAGTTCTAATTTGATGACACTTATCATACTTCAAAAATAAGGAGTCATTTGTACAACAGCTGATTAAAATTCATAAATCTGAATTTACAAAATTCAGATATAATGTTGGTTGTAACATACACCAAGAAGTTTCAGCTGGTCCTTTTTAGGTAAGGAAATGCCTGAGATGAAAAGGAGACTGATAAGAGGTGGAATCCTGTTAAGAGAGGAGTAAGTATTCAGTCTCAGGGGAAAACACCATCCAACCTTGTGAAGACGTATCTTACCTTTCTTCTTTTTCCAGCAACTTAATAATGAAATCTTTCCTTCCCTAACCTACTACCATATTATTACTATAGTTTATTCTGTAATATGAACCAGCTAAGGTGTGTATCTGAATGACTGCTTTTTATTTTATTAAAATTACATGCAAAGTAAGTTGTCAGGATACTAATGGTAAAGTTTCAAAGTCAAATTGGGACATGCTAGAGTGAAAGACATTAATTTAAATGGTTCATTTATACTTGTGTTTTCTGACACAAACTTTAATTTCATAGCTGTGTACTATTTAGCAATAAGATCCCCATCTATTTTAGCCTAGGATCCTACAGCACACAGAACAGAGAACAGTCGTTCAATATGCAGATTTTGCTTCAAATATAACCTCATATCCTATTCAAATACATATTATTCTAGCTTTTATGGCTGAATTGCTAATTTCCTCACACTCATTTCTGCTGTACTCTGAACAGCAGCATCTAACAGCTTCACAGGAAATTTATGCTTTACACAATTCCTTTAAGATAAGGCACAAAGAAAATCAGGCCAAAATATCTGCTAACTTAAGGAAAGAGTTTAAAAAAAATGTCATTCAGTACACACGTTATTTTAAAGCACACTATATGTTAAATGCATCTCTGACTGAGATGTAATACATGAAGTATAAAGAAAATGAGAAACATGAAAAATTAAAATAACTTGCTTTGCATGACATATAAGACTCCAGCTATTTTCAGGATTGCCCAGCTGACTTTCTTTGCTCTTCTTTCATTCTTCATGCCTGAGTCATCATCAATTTCTATAACAGACTATAGTGGCCTTTACCTCCACGCTGTCCTACCTCTTCATAGCATGTTCACTTTTTGCATTGAACAGTAAAACGCTTCCCTGAAAAAACAACTGTTTACATAATTAAAGACTGTACTCAACGTTACATGATTCCTGCTTGAAACTCTATCTTGTGAAAAAGTTATTTTTCAACTTTAAAGACATTATTTGAATGGACACATTTGTGTACATATAATCATACATACTGCCTCCCTACCCATTAAGTGACAAACATACAATGATAATTGTATAGAATTTTTTAGAAGAGCTAACTTTTACATAAAGATTTTTTTTTAGGGTGATGAAAGACATACAGAAATAAATAAGTTATATGAAAGAACTAAAGGGTGGGTTTATAGTCTGAATATCCAAATATGCACATTTGTCTGTAAAATCTAGTCTCCAACTAAATTTATGACATATCTAAGCTGGAAATATTTCAGGCAAGCCTAGACAAGAAATGACAATGATCCAACCCATACAAGTCAATGACTGGCTTGCATGAAGGTTAGAAATTCCCAACTGAGTTAGACCAGCACTGGGTCCATCACCAGTACCCTGTCACCAGCAGAGGCAAAAGCAGATGCTACTCAGGAGAGAGCACAAGCCGAACAGGTTCTGCAGTCTGATTACAGTTTTCTATCCTGACAGTGGCACATAAGCACTACTCTTTGTTTCCTCTGCTTTAACTCATTCCTGGTTGCTAAAAGGACCTTCCCTCCAATCCCACAGGGATGGAATTTCTTTATAACCTTTCATGTGGAGTCTTGTCAAAGGCAACTGAAAAATTCAGATCAGATTACTGTTACTCCATAGTTACTGTCACCCTTCTTCAATTCCAGCAGGTTAATGAAGCAGGATTTACTTTTACAGCAGCCACACTGAAAACTGTCAACAATGCTGTGTTGATCTGTGTTGGGTTTTTTGTTGGTTTGGTTGTTTTTTACTTCTTCCTGCCCCACCCCTTTTTTTTAAAGACAGACTGCCATCTTCCCAAGTATGGAAACAGTCAGGCTCGCTGGTCTGCAACTCCTTCTGGAGCCCATTTTGTAGGTAAGAGTTACAATGGCAACCTGCCAGTCCACCAGCACAGTGGCTGTTTACAATGAGGTTACAGTTCAGTAACTTCAGACTTCAGTTTTTTCACACATCTAACAGTGTGAAGATACTAACATCAAGATATTAACAAACAACTTATCTACTTGACCTCATAACTGCTGTACAGTTACTTCAAGCAGATCTAACACCTTTGATCTATCTGCTACAAAGAACACGTGAGTTGTTGGCATCTTTTTAACATCTTCAGCAGGGAAAATTGATGCGGATTCTGAGCTGTTCTTTTATGACCTTGTAAACCCAGTGTATTCTTTTACACTGTTACCATTAAGCAAACCTACAAATTTCCTAATGGGTTTCTTTTTCATTTCATTTAAACAAAATTTTACTATCACAGCTTAACCATCTTTGAAAACCTCTCTTTAAGAGCTTTTTTAGCCTTCTCAGTTTTCCACTTGCATTTGTCCTGCCACTGTTAATTGGCCTACTCCTCACAAATGCAAGCTTAAGTTTTAAATGCTGACCTTTCTTCTGTTAGGGCCACAAAAGCTTCCTCACTGAGTCTTTATAGAGAGCTTTTTAAGACTATTTTGGGGTGGGTGTTGGTTTGTTTTTTTTTTCTGAAACTTAATTTTCTGAATTATAGCACATATTTCAGATGGGTTTCAACTACAGTACCTTTCTTAACAGTCTCCAACTCTTCATAGGCTTTCTGTACTGCTTGTTCTAGTGTTTGGGGGGGTTAGAGGTTTTTTGACTAGTTGTATCATTTTTATGTGGTTCCCTTTCTGGAAAGTGAACATCCCCAGTACAATTGATTCGGTCTACTCTTTTCTGCTAGTATTTAAATCTAATAAAACAAAACAAAACAAAAAAATGGAAAAAAAAAAAAAGAGGCAAACATTGCAAGAACCCATCTTCGTAATGGATGAGATGTGGGGAAACACAGGCCTCACCTTTTTTCATAGGAAAGTTACAAAGCAAATAATCCTGGAAATCATATCTATCCACCTAAGGGACAAGTAGGTGACTGGAAACAGCTAGCATGGATTTACCAAATGAAAAATCTTGATTTATCAACCTGACCACCTCTGTAAGGAAATGACTGGCTGCAAGAATAAAGGGAGAGCAGGCAATGGTGTATACCTTGATTTTGGTAAGGCATTCAAGATGGTCTCACACCTCCTTATTGCCAAATAGTTGAGATTAGAATTGATAAGTACATAAATTGGCTCGGAAATTGGCTGGATTGTTAGGCTCAAAGGTTGATGATCTGGAGTGTGGAGTGCAACTGGCAGCTAGCAATTGGAAGTATCCCTCAGGGATCCATACCAGAGCCAGTACTGTTTAATGTCTTTATTAACAACCTCAAAGATGGGTTAGAGTGCCTCTCAGCAAGTTCACAGATGATATAAAGGGGAACAACTGAGACACTCACTAGAGGGCTAGACCGCTGTTCAGAGACCTCATAGGCAGAAAACATGGGCTGATGGGAACTTCATGAAGTTCCCCAAAGGCAAAGTCCTGCCAGAATAAGCCCTCATAATAGAACATTCTAGAAGACCAACTTGCTACAGAGCAGGATCCTTCTAAGCAACAAGTTAAACATTAGGTAGTGATATGCCTTTGTAGCAAAGGCTAAAAACAGGCCAGTTGTATAGTATAATCAGTTGGTTTACAAATCTGATTCTGTTCAGCACTCCTGAGACTGTATGTGTGGCTGTGTCTACTTCAGCGCTCCTCCAAGAAAGACACTGACCTACTAGATTGAGTTTAGCAAAGGAGTAACACGATGGTCAGGGGTTGGGCACAAGATTTATGACGACAGCATGGAATACCTGGGTTCATTCAGCCCTAGGAGAAGGGAAGGTTTTATTGATGTCTACCTAACACAAGGGTATCAAAAAGATTGAGTTTGACTTTTCCCAGAGAAGCACAGTGGATGGTACAAGAGTCAATGGACACAAGTTAGAACATACAAAATTTTTTTTACATGCTTCTCTAGCTAGAACTTGTTAAAAAAAAAAAAGCACCTGTATATGCATTGTAAAAAATACATATATAGTTCAGTTCTCTAAAATTTACCACAAAAGTAGTGTAGCCTGCATATTTTATTACAAATGTGCAGCTAAACAAAAAGGAGGAAACAGTGTAATATGGTCTTCTTGCAGAGTACAATTCTTTGCAGAGGCTGTATGATTGCTACTTTTCCCAAGAACAAGTGAATGTGATCAGCTGGAAGAAGCACCAGAGAAGGGTCAAGGAGTAACTTTCTGAAGAGCAAGAAGGGACTCTGACAAACTCAAAGTAACTCAAGAAGTCACAGAAAACTGCTAAAACATAACATAACATTGAGACAAATGAGTCAACCTGAGAGAACATGATAGCAAAAAGCAGGGGTGGGGGGGAGATACTTTCCAGCCTTTCATTTATACTGTTATATCCCTCAGTGTCCCATCACACAGATGTGTCAACCTAGTAAGTACGAACTGATAAAACTCTCCCTCCATCTCCAAAAAGTGTGTCTGAAGGTAAGCATCTGTGTGCGTTTTTTCCCCAAAGTGGGATTGCTTTTAACATACTACGTCTTCCCTGCACGTCTCCTAAATGATCCATGTTCAACTCTTTTATGGAGCAGATTATGTACCTGAAGAGATGTATGATCCAGTTGCATGGATTCCAGTGACAAGAGATGCTTCCCTCACCTACTGAGGGTGAAAGGAGGAT